GACTGTGCTGGACGAGCTGGTGGAGATGAAAAAACCTAAATATTTTGGGATAATGATGCTGAGTCATTAACCATGTGATGGAAACAATTCCTCCAGTTATCTCCAGCCAGCTCCACCTCCAGCCTCCCAGTAGCCGGGGGCTGCTAAAGTGCTGTCCCTCCTCCTCCAGAGCCCTTTGTGTTCCAAGTCCTTCTGTCCACAGGCAGGAATGGCCACTCTGTCCATGACTCACACCCTGGGCACTGCATTCACTCTGATAACACTCATTCCTCAGACCCTTTCACATCTAACAGTTGGAAAAGTCTGGAATAAGTAGACTGGGGAGGGGAGAAAGATCCGCTCCCGTTTGCTTCTCTTTAAATATTTAAATTAGTGCCTGAAAACCAACCTTAACAGGGACCTCAGCAATTGTAAATCTTAAATTTTACATCTATTTCCACGCCTGCACCATCCTGGATACAGGTGTGGACATCCTGCAGATGTAGTTTGCATATAAAAAAGCTGTTTGTGCAGGTCTGGAGGTGCAGGAAAAGCTTTTCTGCATGCAAACCAACATGCACATTTTGAAAATGTGTCATTAAGTGGTGGTTTATCACACATTTTTTTTGCCTTCCTCCCTTCCAAATAACTGTGTACATAGGATTGAAATACTGTGTGAGCTTCTAGTTGGAACAGGATTTTCTGATTCTTCAGTAATTTATATTTACTCCCATCTAACAATGAAAATTGCTTACAGCACAAAACTTCAGCCTACTATGGATTAAAATGCATTTTGGAAATGTCCCCAGATTCCTGGCACATTAATTACGACGACTCAAATGTACAGAGCATTTGGGATCTTTAATCTTCGCGTTCCTGTAATAAGAAAAGTTGTATAATCCACCTCTGAAGGACAAATCCTTATGAAAATATTGCAACTATATCCTGGTAGTGGACTTTTGAAATCTCTCATCCATATTCAGCGAGGAAAAGCCTCTCATTTTCTCCTATTACCACATTTGCTTGTTTGTTGAAAAGCACTCCTGGAGCTCAGCTGCTGTTCCAGGTCCATTTTCCCCCCCTCCACAGCCCGTCCTCCTCCCTGGGATTGCTCATGGGTGGGCAAAGATGGGACCAGAGCAAAGACAGAACAAGGAGCTGGAGCTTCACTGGCCCAGGTTGCCCAGAGAAGCTGTGGCTGCCCCTGGATCCCTGGAAGTGTCCAAGGCCATGTTGGACGGGGCTTGGAGCAACCTGGGCTGGTGGAAGGTGTCCCTGCCCATGGCAGGGGTGGCACTGGATGGGCTTTGAG